GAGACTGAAAATAGCTCTTGCCCACCAGGTGTTTCGTGAAATCGTGACATAAACTGCAACTGCAAGACGGTTTGCGCATGGACTTGGCCAAGAAAAAGCGTTCACATGGAAGAAGTATGGGACTGAGTCGTGCCTGCGTCAGACGGATCAGCGCCCAAGGCAAGAGTCCTGCATGTGTCGCACTGTTGTACGTCACAGCACACGCACAAGTGTGGGAACAGGGTCTTTTTTTAGCCAACAAACTTATCAACAGTGCACAGAGGCCGTCGTCTTTCCATAAATCGTGCCAAAACGACTGTTTTTTCCCGGACGTTTGGTTTCTGTCCCATTCATTGGGAAAAGAACTGAAGTTAAACTTAAACTTCTCCAGATTTTGCTCGGTTTCTGTTCTGTTGGGAGAAGAAGTTATAAATAAACTTCTGTAGACTTCAATGAATGATGTCAATGAACTTTTGAATCCTTAGCCTGGATGCTGACTGTTCTTAGGGCTTGTATACTGCCCAGCCCCCAGTTAGACTCTGAGAAGCTTTGCTCAGGGTATAACTGAGGGGTGTCTATGGTAAAATATCCTTGGAGACATGTTGGCCCTGGTCTGAGCCCAGATGATAGCCTATACACTGGACCTGGCAACAGCAACAGTCTAGCCTGTATCCTAGCCCTTACAACAGTCTAAGCTAGAACTAAGCCCTGGAGTCGAGGAGCTAGCTTGTTGAGGAGCTACTGGCAATAGTCTGGCACCCAGGCTAGCCCTGGAACCAAGGAGCTAGCCTGTATATACGGCCCTGGGAACAGTCTGGCACCCAGGCTAGAGAAGTAAAACTTAAACTTCTGCAAACTTGCAGGAATGTCAACGAATCCTGGGCACCTTTTCCCACAACCTGGTCCATGTGCAAGACATCACCCAGTCTACCCAGCCTCAGGACCAACAGAGAACAATGCCACCGCCAAACCCACAAATAACCCAGATGGCTGTCAGATCAGTCAGGGCTCGAAATTAAAGGTGGTCCAGTGGCCACTGACCACTAAAATTTAGGCTGGGACAACTAAAAAGACACATTCACGTGACATTGGCACATTTTGTGGGACAATGGAAAAATAATAGAAAAATAATCAACATCACAATGTCAGCCCTTCTTTTGTTTATCAGGCACACCTCACGGCTTTTGGCTCAGAAAAGCCCCCCCAAATTTCTTGGGTTCTCTGCAATTATAGCCCACCTGGGAGTCAGAACATAAGTAAAATAAAGTTAACTTCGAGTTGCTGTCACACATACTACTATTTCCTGAAAAACAGGTTCAGACAGTTCAACCTCAAAACCTCACCGGGACAGTTGAAATATATTTTTGGGACAGTGCTGGGACAATAGGAAGAAAAGTTAATTTCGAGGCCAGCTGTCAGCTCAGTACTGGCAGGACCCAGTCCTGAAGAGTCACAGATGATTTTATCACTGCTAGGACCTCCCCTGCCATCAGTGAAATCAAACTCCTGGGTTTCAATTACAGACACGATATGATAACAACTTCTCATATATTATGCAGATCGAATTGCTAGTGTCTCGAAAACATCCTTGCAAAGATTCTATGTTGGACATACCGGCACTTCCAACCTCAAAACGTTTGCACCGATATGCTGTGCTTTAAAAATTACTTTATATGGAGAATATCCAACGAGTAAATTTTAGCTTTAAACCAGTTTCAAAAGTAGGATGTCATTGTCAGTGTCCTTTAACTTAAGTGTGGCAAGAGGCAAAGACATGGAAAAAAGAGGATCATTGAATGATATAAAAACTTGTGACTAGACAGGGTAGCTGCCTCTGTACTTGGCTAACTTGACTTTTTCGGAGGACTGTTCAGTTTTACGAAATCTCTTACACTCCTAACTTGGCGACTGGGTAATTAAACGCTGATTCCTTGCAGTTCCGCTGGAAATTCTGCGTCCAGATAACTGCGGGATTAGCCAAATTCTTTGTCCGTACATGGCGAGGGGACGATCTGGGGTCTGGGGGGAGTTGCTCCGTTCTATCATCAAGCCCATCAGCTTCTAGCTAAAGAGCCAACATCTCGTGCCCAAATATGGTTGGGCAGAGTTTGCTCTGAAGACCCTGTCTTGTGCTGGTTGTCTCCGACCCAGTGTGTATTTTGACTAGAGCTTGGCAGACTAACGCAACTCTCCGCCTGTCTACGAATGTACACATCCAAATAACACTTTCTCCTAAATATAACCTCATTGTTACAGCCGGCTGCACTTCGCTATTTATTCAGTCTCCCCGCTGTGTTGACTCTAGGATACCTTATTTGGCAGTCAGGTGTCAAATCAAACATCATCATTGCTCTCACAGCTCCTGTTCTATCTGCTTAATTAACCGCAGCCCCCTAATTAACCAGCTAATAGGATAGCCCTGTTTCTTTTTAACAGTCAGAAAGACGACAGCCAATATACACAACACTGAGAACAGTTTGGAATTTCAAACAAAAAAACTAACAGATGGAAAACAACACTTGAAATTACAGTCAACAAGTGAAATAGTGCAGCTCAATATTTTGTCATGGGATTGAGAAAAAATCCTACACAGTTTTTACCAGTCACAAAGACAACAGCTAGTAATATACACAACAGATTGAGATTTCCAAAAAAAATATATTTAAAAGGACGGAAAAAAAACACTTGAAATTACAGTCGACAAATGAAACAGTGCAGCTCAATATTTTGTCATGGGACTGGGAAAGAAAATCCTGTACAGTCGTTACGTGTTAGAGACAGGGGGGATAAAAATAAAGGCTTTATCTGAGCTATGTCCACAGACATCCCAACTTTGTGGCTGGCACATGTCCCAACACTTGGGCACACTGAAGCCATTACCAATCTGCATAAGGCCACACCAATTTAATTTCTTGGTTAACGGATTTTTCTAGAAAAATAATGGAGCGGGCGGGCGAAAATAAAAATAAAAACAGGCCTAGGCATCCTATTATGGCCTAAAATGGTACGATAAGAGCCATGAAGACAACACACCAGGCTGGGTCAAAATTTAAACAGTGAATTTTGAACTTTTAATTATACCATTGCATTGAAATATGGAATAACTGTAACAACTAGGAAGAAAAGGACTGTTGTCAACTGTTCAGGGCAAAATATGAGCATTTTGCAGAATTTTTATTTTTATTTGCAAATCAGAAAAAAATGAAGCGGGCGAATCCGTTAACCAAGAAATTAAATTGGTGTGGCCTAATCAACAGCTGCTAAAAATGCAGTGCTCTTGGAGACAAAAATTTTAACAGAAGTGAAAAAAAAATTATTTGCATAAATAATCCCAAAACAAAATCTGGGCATATTGACACATGAAAGAAAAACTATGACTTGATTGATGATTATAATCTCGATATCCCAACACTTGTGATCAGCAGTTGCTAAAAACCACAGTTGTTCAACTCCTTTTACAGGCAAATTTATATCTAACATTTTTTAATCACTTTGAAATCTTTGGAAGCATCTAAAAAACCATGAAAAAACACAACAAGTAGATGATACATGTTTTTGGTAAAAACAACTAGATAACTGCAAGAATAAATCTAAACATCTAGAGACAAAAAAAAATGTAGTTTTCTTCATGTTTTCTCAAGTTCAATGCCAGAAGTTCATCTACAAAGAAAATATATCACTTGAAGTTCACGGCCAAATAACACATACCACCTCCAGTTGTATGTAAGGCATGTATTGTTTTCTAAAACCAAGGCCACTGAAATAAGGATTTTCTGTTTTCAAAATACTCCACAGAAAATTCGAGTACTACAAAACCATGATCATTAACAGTTCACATGTCATGGAAACCATCACTCTGACTTAAGCAGGCCCCTTAACATGTACAGTCCAATGTGTATACCATTTCTGGTGGGCCACATTCCCCATATAGGCCTGGTGCCCTTATATGGTTGTGTGCTGAGGCTGCAGTATTTACTCCCATCTCCACTTGCGTCAAATGCAAACAAGCAGGACTTGTGAGGCCCGCTGACTTGACATATAAGGAATGCGCTCCTCCATATTTGGCACAGGTGTTCCAAATTTGGCCAAGGAGGTCTGCTTGAAATTTTATCAATGAAACCCTACAAATGCTATACTACGTGCGCTGGGCCAGGGGGAATTTTTCGGGGGGACCTTTTGGCAATCTTCGCAATCTTCCGCGGGTTGACACTCGCGTTAAATCGTGCTTTGCTGCTTTATCTCGAAGCGTAATCAACATGTTTTCGAGTGGCTGGCGGGAACAGCTGGGCATTCAAGGGGACGGGGGGAAATTTTCCCCGGCCGGGTTTAGCGGAAGTGCGGTGGGGAAGGACTTGTTTCCACATCGTCTCGCCTTCCGTCCTCACAACATGTAAAGGACCGGAAAATTTACAATTCCACCTTCAGAAAAAAAACTGGCAAGGTCCTGGGCACTAAACCAGCAAACAATCTGCGCAACATTTCCTGTTAATGTTTCTCGGCATAATTGAGACTACGCCTGTCAAACTGTCTAGCTCACTCGCCCCCGCAAAGAGAACTGAGATCGACCCTAAACATGTAAACACTTTACATGGCAGACTTGCCAAACTATTATATATGTTCTGCGCTAGAATCCTGGTCTGCAATAAGTTACAAAACTTACCTTTCTTCGTTGTACGAAAAAAATGAAAATAGAATAAACAAACATAGTCCGGAGCGATTTGATGCAAAACCCGATAACAGTTTGACAACATTATTTCATGTTTCGCAAGCGTCGAAAGCTGTTATTTTCTTAGTATCTAACCTTCAATCAAATCACCTAAACGTTCAACCTTGCTAAGATATATTGCAGATCGGTGATGTTTTTTTAACGTCTTGCAGTAAATCAACATAAACAAATCGAAGAGATAGCAGACGACGCCTTTGCCATGTTTGTATAGCGACTACTGCTAGACATGAGAACTGACTGCGATTTTGGTTGATATCACAAAATCATTTTTATTTTTAAAAAAATCGTATCTTACCTTCATGTTGTCTTCAGCTTCGGTGGAATAGGTCAGATCGGTCTCCTCGTAGCCTGTGACGGACATTCTCTGGTCGTGTTGGCCATGTCCGGACGCCTGGCCCTGGCTGGGAGGGTCGGGGGAGTTGAGGCAGGTCTGGATGAGCGCCTTGCCCGCCTCGCTGGTGATCATGGGCTGGAGCTTTCTCGTGGCGAAGGTGTAAACATGTCCGGTCTCGCTGGCCACCAAGAGCATCACCTGCGTTCCCGTCAGGGTGGACAGCTCGTAGGCCTGTGAGGAACAGGGGAAAGGGATCCATGGTTGGTATTAAAAACGGGCGCTGCTAGCTCGACAGGAAAGCAGAAGGGGAAGTGAGGGACGATTGCGATCGGGGCAGACACCATTTTTGGGGGGCCCGCGTGTCGAGCGTCCAGCTGCTCTGACGAGCTGGGTCAAAGGGTGTCACCCCCAAAAACAGCATGACACCATGCAGGCTTGGGAGTAGGGAATGGATACAAAGTCTTCATATAACTTTTTGGCAGCATGAAACGCATTCTCGACAGCTTATCTGAGGTATTCTGGTGGCGAATCGACCTCGAGTGAAAGTCATGATCAATGACACTACGAATGTAGCTAGCGCTAGCAAGGTCATGTATAATTTTTCCTACCTTCTTCATAATGCCGGTCTTCCTCTTGGAAAAAGTGGTGTAGCGTCTCAGCTTGTTGTCGATGAATTCCATCTTGATCTTGACCCGACCCTTGGTCTTCTTGGCCATGCCTGGTCCGCCGGACGCGCCGTGGGAGTCGTCGGCAGAACGCTTCACTCCGTGCCCCGACGGGCTGTCCTGGTCGCCCGATCCATCCGAGTCGCCGTCTCCGTAGTCATCGTTGCCGTTGCCTAGTTGAGGGGGGTGTCCGTAGTCCAAGTTGGTCAGATCCCCTGCACCTACGACAAAAAAAATAAAACAATCCCACGTTTTTTTTTTTAAGTTCCAGGACCAAAACAATATACAATTTCTAGAGTCAAGACTTGCCGCGCTAACTGTCAAAACCAGATTTCCGTGATTTTTGCTATCCGTCTGGCTTCCTGCCCCTCGCCAGCGCTTGTGCACCAAGCCAGGGGCGATTTTCCCTCGCTTTCCGAAATTTTGCGCAAGCTCTCACCCTCTCCGATCGGCCGTTTTCGTGACCTACCTCCGTTTTGTCCTGCAGTGTTCATTTTGTTGTACTATACGCGAAGCTTCCCACACTTGTTTCGGGCTGTATTTTCCCGGTTCTCCTTTCTGGGTGCACCGACACCTCTGCAAAAGGAATTCCCCACTACACCCTCCGCAGACGCGTACCCCTCCACTCCGACGCACTACGTTTTTGCTTCTTTTCACAATCGCGTCTTTTACAGCGCTAAATTTAGAAGTAATATTTAGAAATACCATTCAAGATCTCACAAAAATGTTTTCGGTAATAAACATGATTTACAGGTGAAGTTCTAGGGAAATTTATCGTCTGCGCGGAGGGATATAAAAGGCGAGGCGAAGCGCATACCTCACGCGCCTGCCATATAAAGCAAAGGGGTTTCCAAATATGGACTGCAGGGCCAAATATGTCTAACTCAGCCCTGGGAAATGAACTGCACGCTAGGCGGCGCTGTTGTCTTCTGACTCAGAGTGCGTCACCCGTTGACATGATGTCAGGTGTATTTTGAGAACAAGCCATCAAAACTTTCGCTTAACTTTTACTTTTACTATTGAATCAAACGTTTCTCATAAGCTATATGTACAGGGGCTGTTGACTCTAATGTAGACGCTTTTAATTGTGGGAATAGCATAGCCAGTGGTGCCCTGCGAAACTTAAATTCGAACGTATCCGAATGTTCGTGATTTAGGTTAGTCATTATATGGCTGGAAACATTCAGTTAATCAGAGACAAAAGACAGACTCTGCCCAGTTCTCTAGTCGCAAAATTAGCACGTTAGGTCCCAGGTTTATCCTCCACCAGGCTTCAGAATCGACTGGAACAAGCAGAAATTTGCCAAATATGTACATAATTTGGCCAGGGTAGTTAGTCCGCTAAAGAAGAATAGTTTGTCAACCTGGAGGCATGTCATCTGTCTATATTTTGGGCAATTTCTACTCTTTCCAGATTGGTATCTGTATCCGTATAGCCGGTATAACCGTCTTTCGACATAACACAGCAGCTTCGCAGGCACGCGGCGCGGCGGCAGCTGGCTATATTACACAGGGCGACCTGTTACACCCAATCTTTGCACATTTAATTGCAGATGTTCGGATCTGATGCCTGATCTGAGTCTACACAGGTTGACAGCCGTCTGCTAACTTTCACACAGACGTGCAATTCTTCAGCGTCGCGCTAGGTGTGCACAGACACGAGACACGCCGCTGCCGCGCTTATGTGCTATTCGCCAGCCTCTACCAGGCTCGGGAGGTGGAAAACTGTACTTTCTATCGGACCAACTCCTTCGGCATGTTATTTGGCCAATTTCTACTCTTTCCAGCCGCCTCCCGAAGCCTGTTAGAGGCTACTATACTCAACTTTCCATGCGTATTAAAGAGAGAAGTACAATCTACCAAAGGAAAACATTTAAGCGGTAATCTGTACTCCTTCAGCGGACCAACTCCCCTGGCATGTTATGTGTCTATTGGACCGATATTCTACTCTTTCCAGCCGCTTCCGAAGCCGGTAGAGCTCGAGGCTACGATAAGTTTTAGCAAGGGCATTATCATATAACGGTTAGTGTCCTTGGTTTTAGTTTCAGTTTCATTGGGATGCCCTTTAGCCCATACGCTAGGGGCTAAACTTCCACAGCTCCAACACAAATTACACAGATATTTATAATCACATTGATCATTTTTAGAAACATTTCTTGTGCTGACCTGATGCCTTTGACGGAGGAGTGATGGGTGGCTCGTACGTGTGCATCTTGTGCATGCCCAGCTCTCCCGTGGTGCGGTAGGTAGGGTAACGGTACCTGGCGGAATAAGAGGTGCATCGATATTAAGGTTAACAATATCCAAAGACAAATCACACTGTAGTACTGGATAATTTACCAAGATTACTCCCGATCCGGGCATTTCGAGTGACATCCGTCAATCTTCTTCAGCGTCACCATTTAAAATTAACAGTATAATAACGTACATTCTATTTCTCAATACAAATTTTGCTTTGGGTACTAGTATGGCTAGTATTTGAAAGTTTTCAGCAGGCAGAAGTGAACCGATGCCGTGCAATATAAAATGGCACACGTTGACTAGTTAGACATCGTCATTGTATAATAATGTTGACTGTTGTTGTGAATGACGGGTCTTAGTATTGGAGAGTCCTAGCGGAGTTTTTATGCACTGCACTCGTGAGCGCTCAATACATCATGTGGTGAATTTGATATCGCAGACGCAGAGCAGCATTTTCAAGTTAGAAAAAGTAGCTTTTATAGAGCTGCTACTGATTTAACAATTGTCCAAGAATTAGATCCAAAAAACATTTCTTTCAACGCCTATGCGTACCGCCTCTCTGCTCTTTCCTAGTCGCAATTTTCCGTGAAAACGATCTCGACTTCAATTCTCCCGTGTATATGTAACAGATATCACTGCTAAGAGTGTCTGAGAAAACGTGAAGGGATCAGCAAACTCAGCTGTAAGGCGGATTACAGCGCAAATCGGCTTAGCGGCCTGTGTTACGCGTAATGCTGGGGTCACAATTCCCACACGGGGCCCGGCCGGGCAGCTTTTGGGAACGAAAAGTACGGTAAAAAAGACAACAAAACACAGAAAAGTTCTTATTAAGAATCATGCGCGATATTTCTGTATATTCTTGATATGAATTGATAATTTTTCGTTCATACTAACAGCCCGGCCGGGCCCCGGTTTGGAAATGTGACCTAAGCATAAGTTCCCCATATGGTTTCTCAGCTCGCTGGAGCTGCGTGGAACATCTTGCTTCCCCGGTCCTGACACACTCCTCGCCCCACGCTGAGGAGTAGCGAATGTGCTTTCACGGTTCGTAACTAACCCACTCATCCATCTTATCGCATGTAGACTTGTCAGCATCGGGGCTGAGCTGTGGCTGTTTCTATGCCATGCCCCTAGACCTACTCTCCAAGCAGAGGTTGGGTTATTTTTGGCGTGTTTTTAGGCTTTTTTTTTAATCGGAGTTTCTTTTAAAAATCCAGTGCAAAAAAGAAACACCGACAAAAAAGCCTACAAACACGCCAAATATATAGTAACCCAAACCCAAACCTCTGCTTGGAGAGTATCTTGAGACTTGTTAGACATCGGGGCTGAGCTCAGCTGAGCGGTGACTGTTTCTATGCCCTAGACCCTGCGCTAACCATACCCAAGCTACTCGGTCCGTTGTACTGCCTGGGGGCTTTAAAGCGGGGAACGTGCAAAACGGGGGGTTGGGGGTTTTTAGTCGCGTTACCCTTTCAAATAACAATTCCGTATACAGTACTTAAATTCATACCCCGGTAATCATGCATTGAATATCTTTTGTATTCAGACATCTCTTTGTAAAAAGCCAAGTCCAACTCCTTCGTGAAAGACAGAAGAACACTTTTCCTCATGAACGCATTTGAAAGTTTTTTTAAAGACGGAAACAAGAGGTATCCTTTGCTCATTTACTTCTCGAGAATGAAAACGACTAACTTCATTTAATCAGTGACCATTATAAACGCTTATGTCATGCAGTTAGTAAATGGTGCATTATTTATTTTTAGCAAAAAGATCGCCACAAAATTCCGTGTCACGTAGCAATACCGTCGTGCGCATCACATAAACTGTTCTTTCTTACCAAACAAAGCTTTAGAGACAAGTAGCAGATCGCCTGGAATGAAATCGTACATTTACGCTCTCCTCTAGTGTTTTGGTGTGTTTTAGAGAAACAGCACAAACTGTCTTGTAAAAATACTTCAAATGTACTGCTAAGCAAGTGTCTTCCGGGCCCACGAAATGTAGTCTCTTCTGCACGTACAAAAATATTTCTAAAATCGTACGTTTTTATTGTTCTGTTGTATGTTTTGTATCCACTGCAAATGTTGTTGTTTCTTTAAGTTTTACAGCTTTTCTCTGACGTTCGTCCGGATACATACAGCTACCTCTACCAGACTTTAGAAGGGGGCCTTAGAAGTGGCTAGAAAGAGTGCAAATCGGCCAAATAGAACACCGCAAACTACACTCGTTCAGTATATAGACCGATTCCCCTGACATGTTGTCTATTATCCCAATTTCTACTCTTTCCAGCCGCTTCTGAAGCCTGATAGAGGCTTAACATACACTGATACAACATGGTAAGAACTCGTCTCACCTCATATCGTCGTGTGGCGAGGAGACGGGCGAAGTTTTGTCCATGGCGTGTCCGGAGTACGCGGGGACGTCGGGCACCCAGCTCCGGGCAGGTGGGGGTGGGTACGTCATGCCGAATGTAGGAGGTGGGCGGTAGTAGGAGTCAACTTCGTACATAGTAGACCGGGGCGTCTTGCCTGGATGGAAAAAGCGAAACGGGTCGTTAAGGTACGTTGCAAGTTAGTGTAGCGCGTACTTAGTACGTGTTTGATCTCCAAGCAGATTTTTGGTGGCTGCGAAGACGGTACTAGGTTGGGCGGTAGTAAGATTTAACTTCCTGACTTCATACATTGTCTCATAGTACTAGACCGGGGCGTCTTGCCTGCAAGAAAAAAACCGAAACCGTGAGATCGTCGGACGGTCCGATAGTCAAATTACGTGTAATGTAGTGTAGTGCGCACGTGTTTGATCTCCAAGCAGATCTTTTGGTGGCAGCGAAGACAGTACTAGTATACGTAGGAGGTAGGCGGTGGTAGGAGTACATAGTAGACCGGGGCGTCTTGCCTGGTAGAAAAGAAGCGAAACAGATTGTCAAGTTGCGTGTAGTCACAGTAGTGCGTACGTGTTTGATCTACAAGCAGATCTTTTGGTGGCTGCAAAGACAGTATACCGAAAGCAAAATGATGGATACAGTCTGGCAAAGACAGTATGAAATTGGCCAGGCAGTATCCTTTTGCCAGAGGCAAAATGGTAACAGTCTGGCAAAGTTGAGAAATGGATGCTGTTTTGCGAATTTGATATTTATCACTTTATGTCCTACTTGTCATTGTCCTGACACGGACGATTCTTTACGATTCGTGGTAAGTCGATGGCCTGGTTGTAACAAAATCACACAGAAGGGCTATTTCTCAATTTTAGCGACTGAAAACTGTCTGACAGAGCCTGGTCATGGCAGGGATGTGATATGGTCGATGATGAAGGTAAAAAGCACAGAACTGTTTTTTTGTCGATTTCGGTAATTTCGCGTTTCAAGTTGTTGGCATGGCTGTGTTAAAAGCTTCAAAGAGAAGGCTACTAAAACCTGTACAATTATTTCAGTGCCAAAAAACGACGTTTCAATTTGTCGAAAAAAGTGCGGCCACGATATCCTCAAAATTATCTCGTCTCTTCATCGTTGCGTTCATGAGAACGCGGTTATGAAAATTTTATCATTTTGAAAAGAAAATTCTCATAGATACAGAGATACATACAGCACGAATATTATACTAGCAAAATGGGCAAAATGTTATTGAGGAAATAACGCAGTTTTGGTTCTCAGCGAGTAGCTTGTCACCGTCCCATGTTTTTGTTTGCATTTCTCTCTGCTTCCGTGTTGTCTATCAAAACAAACTATCTTCTAAAAGCAATATTGTGTATCAAAACGAAATAATTGAATTATCCCTCATCATAACGCTTTTGTTTAAACAAGAAAGCTAAAATGTGTATCGAGCAGTGGGTTTTTGAGAAATATTTTTTGAAGTCCTCTCATGGAAAAACCAAGATGACGTTCAAGCGTCCAGAAAGGCAACAGATCATCACATCAGGCGAGTCCGTCTCGTTTAGGAAGTTCGTCAAAAATGTACACACAAAGGATGGAAGAAGCTTAATCTGTCATAGGAAGACAAACCGATAGCGAGTAATAGTAATAGTTTTCCTTACCTCAAAATACAAAAGACGGGAGTTCCGAAGTCTGTTAGTCGATGGCTTGAACTGGAGAGCTATAGCGGTGAGTTGCGATGCGACCGGTAGTCTGGTCGGACAGTGGCAATTGATTCGGTCGAAGGTTGCTGGTCGCTCTTATATGGCCGGCTGTTTTGTATGATTGACAGGAGCCGTGGGTCACTCGCTCGCTCGCTCGCTCTCAACTCGGCAGCGTCATCGCGGAATGTCCGCGGCTCGCACAATATGAGGAGTTCTCATGTGCCCGGCTATATTTACTTTGGGGCTGTGAAATATTCACAGAATGTTTCGTTGTTGGAAACCTGTTAGTTTCGTCGTTGGTCTTGCTTGTTGTAAGTTGTAAGTATATCCTTCTCTTGTGGTTTCTTCCTACCAACGACGTGATTATGTTGTACTTGTACTGTAGAGCCGCGGTGTCACTGAAATTAGTCCACCAATGGAGAACGAGAAGTCGAGAAAGAGTTGTAGTAGTAGTAGTAGTACTACCACTACTACTACTACTACTTCTACTACTACTACTACTATCTTGTTGTTGTTGTTGTTGTTGTTGTTGTCTCTGCTTTACGTCTATTTTACCGCTAGACGTTGACTCGTGGTGCCCTTCTCGGCTTGGTGCTTTGTTTGTATACGATGCTCTGGTAGTAGTACTTGTGCGCCGGGTGCTTTGACTGCTAGGCGGAAGTCGTGTCGCAGTAACACACCGTGACGTTAAAGTTACGGGGGGATTCAGGTCGTTGTTAACCTTAGCAACGTGAGAGCGGGATGGTTCCCGAGCGCCGGCTGACAGTGATCGATGGCCGACACGTCGGGATGTCGCTGCCCGACAAAGGCGAAAGTGGGAGCTCCCCCCTCGCCGGGACCCGCGGACACCCCCGGCGATTCCCATGGCAAAATCTGCCCAACTTTGACCAGTTACACGGATATAATGTGACACAGGTACTACCCAATACAGCTGTTCAACTCCAGCATAATTTGAACTCTGAAAGAAAAAAAAAAGAAGGAACTCATCAAAATCTGCGCAACTTTGACCAGTTACACGGATATAATGTGACACAGGTACTACCCAATACAGCTGTTCAGCTCCAGCATAATTTGAACTCTGAAAGAGGAACAAGAAGAAGGAAGTTCTTACACTGTTGATCACTGTTCGCTGAAGATGCTACAATGTACATGTAGTAGTCATCAAAATCTCCGACAAGTTACACTAATGTGACACAGGTATCCACTGCAGCTGTTACACCGGTACTGTTCTTCTGAACTCTGAGAGAAGAGAAGAAGAAGTAGAATCTTCTAACAGCACACTGTTCCCTGGAGGTTCAGTACTCATCTGAAATAATGGGTGAAAAAAATTATGATTACTGCAGGTCCCTCTTAACAGAAAACAGTGACGATTCCTAATAGAGATTTTTTTTCTTTAAAAACTTGGCATTTGTGACCCGCAATCCACATTTGCAACTTTTTTCAACTTAGTCCCACAGTCCGCAAACATCACAATGACAGTTAGAGGAATATAATAAAGTTAGAGTTAGACCCAAGTTAGAACAATCGGCAGATCCGAACAGACAAGAAAGATGCTCTTTCCGCCCACAAACTGTTACTACGGTAGATCATCCATGAATGAAGTTGTCTCAGTTGAAGTAGAAAATTGTCCAAAGTACAAAATACAAACCTGCAAAACCGTGACTCCCAGTCCTACCTTCCTTCCACGTAAAAATCTCAAACTCATAAATCGCATTTAGCGTAAGACTAGGCCTATACTATAGTGCTAGCTCCCAACAAACACCAAGTATTGAGTCTATCTAACCGGGAATGTGGTTCATATGTGCAGTGACACAAACTTTATGTTACTAATAGGGCTTTTCTGGCCTTTTTCTGAATTCCACAGCGCTGTGGCCAGCCACAGGAAGTGCAGTATTAGTCATTTCCCCCCGTTTTGCCCAGTTTTCCTGTATAAGATGTTACACGCGCCGTACAAGCACCCATATGAGCGCGCATTTTCTCTTTTGTCTTGCCGATCGGCAGATTAACCAGACGTTTCTCTCAAAAGGTAGCAGACTTGCTGTCCAAATCGGCCGGCACAAAAGAAAAATAAGGCCTACAATGCTCACACTCGTGTGTACGACACAGACCACAGCACACAAACACGTACATACTGCCTTTATTTGCGAGAAAAGTTAGCCTCTACCAGCACAGGCTTCGGGGGGGGGGGGG